CCCCATGTGGCCCTGCTGTTCCTTGCAGTGCCAGGTTGTACACGCCGTATTATGGAGGCCCCAGGGGAGGGCAGCAGGATGGGAGGCCGAGCCTGCAGTGGGCAGCCCAGGCCTACCCCTGCCCCATGCACAGATCTGGGGGGCACAGGTCCCCCCCTAACCTCCTGGGAGTACACACAACAGCGGGAAGTTGCCCCTCCTCCACCTGAGTCCACAACAGGCAGGCAGCAGGCAGCGGGGGGGAGCCGGGTTCCACTCTTCCGCAGGAGCCGCCACTTCCTGCTGGGGACAGGACCTGGGTCCTGGGCTCCCGTAGCTGGGGGCCCCTTCCGGTACAGCTGGGGGGGGCAGAGGGCTGTGGAGGGTAGATCTGCGGTAGCTCTGCCTGCCCCGCTCCTGCCCGCAGCGCAGCCTCTGACTGGGAAGAGGCTTGTGCTCCCAGGGCACCATCACAGGGGCTCCTGCCCCGTCAGGATCTCTCCTCCCTTGCTGCTCCAGCAGCAGGGGCAGGGGCGGGACAAGGGGCCGTGTGGGGGAATGAGGGGCTTTTCATTTTCATTGGATTTGGGGTTTTTTATCAGAGAATTTGCAATTTTTTATCAGGATCCCTGATAATTATACCTGAAGAGTTGGTCCTCTTCTGATGTGAACACTTTTCTAGGTAAAAATAGACCAAAGTGAATTATTCCCCACATTAGTTGGGAATGTTGTCTGAGTGTATCATAGAAAAATTAAACCATTAGAGCCAGGCAAAGAATTTTGTTTAAGAGTTGTTGAACCCTGTTGGGCTTTTCATGGGTAACCTAAGCAGTTTGCAAATGGGCCGAGTGATCTGAAATAAATTCTTCAGCATAGAAGCAGCTAGGCAACTTTTGGTTATTTTAAAAGAATCCATATGTATGAGTCACAAGAAAAACTAACCAATGTATATTAAGATTCTTTAGGGATTTGTTACCCCTTATACTATGAGCTGCACAGATGTTGATCCGTGTTTAGTGCTAGCTCAGGTTTGGAGAAGTCATGCTGCAGGCCAGCGGGGGGCCTGGAGGACTGAAAGGTAAGAATCTGTTCCCCTCCCACTCCAGGTTTTCCCCCTGCCTCCTGGGGCTCCCCTGGTTCCCCCTACTCCCGGGGCTGTCCCCATGCCCCCGCTGTCCCTGGGGCATTACTTATGGCTGCTTATGCTGTCTGTTCCAGGGGAGCAGGCATGGAAGGGTTAACCTTGCAGTGGTGATGCATACAGGGTCCACAGGGGTGCACGTGCACCCCCTAAGAGCACCAGTGCGCCCCCTGACAGGCCGCGCTCTCCTCTCAGGCGATGGGCAGGGGGGGTAGGCAGGAGTGTTGGTGCCCCTCCTGCAAGCACTGGCTGGGGAGTGGGAGCACTGTGGCTGCTTCCCAACTGGACCCCCCCACCTCTCGGTTGCAGACTGGTCACTGGCGGGGCACGTGCTCCCCCTGACTATGGCGGTACCAGTCACCAATGCCTTTGTGCCTGGCTGCAGAGCTATTCTTCTCTTCCCTAAGAGAAGGCTGGTAGTTTAACCCTTCCCTGCCTGCTCCCCTGAGACAGACAGCATGGGCAGCCGCAAGTAAGTGAGGAAAACGGGGGGGGCAGTGAGCAAGGATCTGGGGTGCTGGTTGGGGACAGCGGGCCTGATCTATGCTAGTAGAGGAGAGAGGGCAGGTTGGGTATTTACACTAAGGTGTAGCCTAGCGTGGCCACACCTTAGTGTAACATGAGCTGGGTAGTCTGGATCAGCGATAATCCTGCTCTGGAGTGGTGCAATTTTGAGCTGCATAGCAAAAGTTTAAAACTGGTTTCAGGTGTTAATGTGCAGACAATCCAGGGGTTAAGAGCTCCAGGAGCTGCCCCAAATTCCTATGTAGCGAGGAACAAGTTGAACGTGTGCCTCTGCTTGCCAAGGTTAGCTTGTATCTCGTTTTCCTGAAGTACAGAGACTAAACAGTATGGTGTTTGGTGCTTTACAGCAGAACAAGCTGTTAATACGTGAAATGATGGGAGTGTGTTTCAGAAGTGGACTGAAACGTGTTTTTTCTAAATGCCATGTTTTTGGCTTCTTTGCTCTTCTTAGCTACTTTGTTGCTTCTGTTGATTGTAGGGCTGAGGTGAACAGGGTGAGTTGAAAGCATGAGACAAACCTGTATAAATGTGCATAAATGTAAGAGCAAAATGAGAATAAAAGTGAGAGAGAGCTTCCATTTGGATAAATTAATCCACTTCTTTTCTCATAATCTCACTGAAGGTAGAAGAAAAATACCAGCTGCAGTCACCTTTCCTGGAGAGGTCTTCAATTCATGAATGCACGGTTTGTTAATGCAGTGCTAAGTAGCAGGGTTCTTTGCTGTTATATTGCTTCTGTTTTTGAGAGAGGAGCTTTCCAGAACATCTCTAACTTTTGCTTTTATTCAATAATTTTTTGAGGTATCCTTTTAGTCCCATTAGTGATTGAGGTGATACAGTTCTGCTTCTTAAGAGTTTTTAAACTAATTGTCAGAGAAAGTGGTGTCTTTCTTCCTAACACTCTTTAAAGGAAGGTTCTTGTCTCTCTGAGTTGAGTAACAAGTTGCTTAAGCATTACCATATAATTCCCAAATTAATATTCAAATGATCTCTTACGCCAGCTAACTAATCATAGGATCAAATGGTCTTGCCATATTTGTCCATAAAATGTCCCACTATTCACATGTTATCAGGGAGTTAGTATATGAAGTCTGGCCTTTTATGTACAAAGTATTTGCAAATAAATATCTCAGAGGAAATGTATACTATCTTCAGCATGTGAAGGACAAAAAGCATTTTCCTTCAAGAACGAGCATGAGGCAGAAGGAGTCCATACTTTTATAAATCATTCTCAACCCATAAATATTCTCCTTGAAGTTAAAGAATGAAGACTTTAAGCATTTATAAAAGAAATGACTTTCAATAAGACTATTTTTAGAATTTTTTGCGTGTAAAATGGCAGATTTTTCTCTTTATGAAAGGAAGGGAAAAAATTTGCTTTTATGACTTAGTTTCTAGCTCTGATACACATCCTATGAATCCTTCACTCTTTGGAGCATCTTGAATAAAGGATACCCTTGCATTCATTTACACAACTAGGTTGTGCCTGAGGGGATGTTTTAGAAGTCTATCAATTTCAGACCCTGTTACAGTAAGGCACAACAGCGTCTGTAGACACCTACAGCTGATGCCTCTTGATTGCAAGGTGCCAGTGCCCTAGGGCTACGTTGCCTCTGAGAGGCTGTTGCTGTTTTGGGGAGTGTACATATGGTACAGAAAATATTCCTAGGGATGGGAGATTGTTGAACATATTGGATTCCCCCCACCAGTAAATGGTTATGGCTCTGTGGTGCCAAACCGTGTACAATCAGGTAACACAGAAGACAAGTCTGGCTTCAGACATTTTACAATCTAGTTTATAATTTTGCCTTTCTTACTTGCAAAGCCAAGGAATACCCTTTGCAGTATCCAGTCGAATCCTGCTTGCTTTGTACTTTGGAGATAAGACTGTGATTGACATGCTAATTAATTATTACAATTAATACATAATTGTATGCAAAGGTGTTGCATACAATCTTTATGATAACAGAGGTGGGCGAAGGGCTTAATTGAAAAATATTAACAGGATAATGTTTACTTGATATCAGAACTGAACGTTCTCTGGGACTTTCTCCGCTCAGATACTTGATGCACTGTATTTGTTTTTGCAACACTTGTTTGCCTTGTTATGCCAAAGGATTTTGACTTTAATCCAAAGTAAGCAGATGACACTGCGTAGGCACCATTGAAAGTACACAGATATCAGTGTTGACTACGAGAGGTTTCTATATCTCAGTATAAGTCAATATATGCTTGTGACAAGAAGTAGTAATTATATTATCTGCTAATGATGCAGAGAGAGAAGACTATAATTGACTGCAAGGGAGTTGCACATGTTTTCGCTTATGAGGAATCTGACTCCTTAGGGCTACATTTGATAACCAAGTCCTTATGAGGCCCAGTGCAGGAGAAGGAGGCAACACTGCCTTTGATAAACCTATTCAGGCACTTGGTGAATCCTCCCAGCTACATTTAAGCAGCTTTTACACAGCCGCTCTGCAGCCCAGATTGTGTAGTGCTGGAAGGCTGTGTTCTCTGGCCTTCCACTTCTACTGTGCTGTTGGGATCCCACTGTGAGTACAACTCTCGGGCCCGTGCCTGTCACTGAAGCAAGGTACAGTGTCTACTTCCAAGCTGACTTAATGTAGATCGTTGACAACTCCTACAGATGAAAGAAAGAAATGCTTTGTTTCTGTATTGTTTTCAGCAGGTTTACTGATGTTGTCTGTGGAAGCACTGTTGTTCTTAAACATGACAAGCTTAAACCAAAATACAAACGAATCTTGCAAAACAGGTTTATTGTGCTACTTTCTGGATTATTGCGATATCAGACCAAACCACGGATGCTCTAACGGAGGTCTCATCTCAGTTTCTGCTTTAACAGTGATCACGGATCTGGTTGCACCAAAAGATGACCCACGGGGTGTTTATGTGTGCGTGCGGGGGGAGGAGGAGGGTGGCTGTATTGATATAGATTACAGGGTCTACTAGATTTGGCCTGTGTATGCATATCTACCAGCAGCACAGTAACATGGTCTGGCACCCTGGGGCACAGGTGAAGGAGTGACTTCTGGTCATTCCGCCCTAGTTATGCCACTGATTTTCACAGTATTTTACCTCGAGAGCTAACAGGATTTTGAGCCATTCGCAAAACAATGGAGTGCTGCAGAATGTCAGACTCGGTGACTTGGGGCTTGAAGTTCAGACCACTGAAACGGTGTGAATGTTGGTTTCAGACTATGGATGGCTTTCTCCGAGGAATCTACGCACAAGAAAGGACACCTGTTTATTGCAGAAGCTTCTGTATAGACCAAAAAAGCCCCCTTAGCTGCTTGAGATGGTGTTATTTTATTTGCTCTAATAAACATTTGATTTATACAAAAAAAAACCCCCAAACAAAAACTGTTTACAATGAAAGTACGTTCTTGAAACATTTGATAAACAGGAGAATACACCGTTCACATTCCTATTTCATATATGATGTACAGGTGAAGTATTCGTCAAAAAGAATAAAAATTTCCCTTTACATGTAGTAGTTAAATTGTCAGTACTGTTTGGAACTACCGGATGTTATTTCTTGAGCTTCAATATGGAATTAAAAGGAAAAAAAAACAGACCACGATACAACCCTACACAGCTTTCCAGTTTGCTTGTCTTTACCTCCATCCTTAATATTGCTAGAGTGCAATCTAGAAGCCCACCACTAGAGGGCAATGGGCCACAGCTCTGCAAAGGCAAAACCATCAATAGGCAAGAGCTTTGATTGTAACATACCACCGCGTTATTGATGTTTGCAGCACAAAGTAACAGTTTGCTCCTTTTGCCAGTAGCTCCACAGTTCATCCAAAAAAATATACCCCCATAAAATGACATAGTATTTTCTGAATTCAACTTTAGTCGTTGATGTTCTGCACCAATTTGTTTAAATATTTCTAAGTAGTTTATTAAAAAAGAAGATACAAAAACATTTTAAATAAAATATTTTCCTCATAAATCTTAACTCCTATTTGAATAAACACGTTTCCTATTGATTTACAAAAGCAATATTTCCTAGAAAAAAATTGATGTTTGTATGACAAAGGCGTTTATAATTGCACCAGAGATAAAAAGATCTAGTCATTTATTTATGCAGAATTATTTTGTGCTGTCAGATTCACTAGTTTCGGTGGCACATACTCGACCGCTAAGAGAAATGTGCAGATCACAGAAAAACAGCTGAAGACATCCTACCATTTAAAACCCAAAGTGAAGCCAGCTTCAATTCGAAACATTTTGAAGGGCTCCAAGAATGTAAGCCATGTCTGATGAGTGTACTGTTTTGGAAGGTACATTTTTTGCAAGCCATGAAAAATGGCTGGAGGGGGTGGTGGGAAAGGGGACAGCATTCACTGCTCTGCGTGGCAGCAGGGCTGAGCACAGAGCATGGCATTACCTTGCTGCAAAGCATTCCCACAGCTATGACAGCCTCATATGGATTCATCTCTAGAGGATATTGATGTTCTTTCTTTGCTTTTGCAAATAAGGCATGAAACAATCTGCACTGTGTGTGTCAAGAAATTAGACACAGTGCATATAAAAAATGTTTGTTTTTATATCAGTACATAAAAGGGGGGAAAAGTACTGATTTCATTCAGAAGGCACAGCAAATATAAAACATCTGTCTGGATTAATGTTGGCCCTGCTTGATTTTCATTGGTTGGTGGGGAAGGGAAACTTGTTCCTCTGATACTTTTGAAGCCTGCTAGCATGAAATGCAAGTGAGGGTGAAGCAATGAGCATTGAAATATATACTGGGGAGCAAGGGGGTGAGAACTCCCAAGCACCCTCAGTACAGGATATTTTAAGGAACATGGTTAGCAGTTGAGAGTGATGGTGGTCCACTGAACAAGACCGACTAAACCTGAAACCAGCTGTAGAAATTATTGCATAGTTATTGCATAGCTGAAATGGACTCTGTGGCCAAAACTGTCTCTCTGCAGTGAGCATATTCTCTTACAAATATAAAATACAGTGCAGCTGGGCAACAGCAGGCTATGTATAATGTGTGACTTGAAAGCCATCTTTTTATTGCAGGTTGCTCTTGTCTTTTTGGTATGGTGCCTTTGTACATTGCTGCTGCTATAATGATGGCTCCCGCCCCATTATCTTTCCTTAACGGGTAGGGTTTTCTTATGTATGTGTAATTTCCTAGAAGCACATTGTACTCTTTTCTGAGTATGGCTGTATATATAAAAATAGCTATTCCATAGTTATATACAGGCATTAATAAAGTGCAAATGTTATTGGCTATTGTAAAAATCTTGTTTCCTGAGGAAGTGCTAACACAGCTTATCCTATGACAAGATTGCAGGCAGCCAATGCTATGGTATGACACCAACTCCCTGGCTTTTACTTCCCACAAACTCTTGTCCCTCTGTGAAGCTTTAGTGTAAAGGGAGTGGTGAGATCCTCAGTACTACAGGAAGCAAGTCAGGGAACTGTTCAAGACCTCTTCCTTTGCCAAGATATACGAGTTCAGGAGCAATTCTCTCCCATCCACAACCCTGAGCAACTTGCTACTTGGTGGAGGTCACAGAGCAGTCTTCTGGGATCTTCTCCTCTGAACAGCTTCTCCCTGTGAGTTTGTCAAGGTGCCTGAGCTCACTGAAGCGCTCAGCAACACACTGTGCAGTGAGGCGGGCCTCAGGATCATGATCCCAACATTCAATGAGAGTCTCGCACACCATCTGGATACCCTGCAGTAGGCACAGAAATACAGCAATGAACTCCTTGACAGTTACAGTCATAGCACTTGATCAATGCAATCATGCAATCTCTTAAGTAAGCACATGTACTCATGCTATCGGGGTTTATAGAACTGGACCTGCAGTCATCTCATGGGTACTGTTGTCACTGTGATGTCTAATGAGAACTCCTATGTTAAAAATACATCCATATTTACAGCATTGTTACTATAGTTCTTGGGCCAGCATGACAGCACACTGCTGCAGAAGATAAAGTGCCTTGAGCCATTATTGTGGATTATAAAAACAATGACAATTTTTGGTGCATGATAATATCACAATGGCAAATCAGTCAATGCCTTGGTGCCACTGGCTTTCACTTCAGTTTCCCAAGCAAAACTCTGACCAATCTGTGAAATCCTAGATCAGTCCTTTATACATTCTTTCAGACTAGCTCCATGTAGAAAGAAAGGCTGTGAGGCTGAAAACACTATGCATGTTGCTCACAGGTGTATTTAGCTTTAGTTTCAATAGTGTTTACAGGAAAGCAGCACAGTTGCATTTTAGTGATATGCGTTATAAACATGAGAGATTTGCCAGGAAATTGTGTCTTTTGCTTTATGACACTAACAACCCATTAAGTAGAATTTATATTAAACTTTTTGTATTTAAAAAAGTAGCATTTCACAATACTGCATTAATTACATAATTTACCTAATTGGTGATGTTGACTGATATCAATGCTAATAGCAGCCTGTTATTGTCTGTATACAAATAACATTCATTTTTTGCTGGCATTGAAATTACAAGCAGTAAATTAAATTAAATATTAAACATTAACTTGAAATCAATAGTGCAACAAATCTCATTAAGGGGGGGAAAATTGCAATATGTAAATCCATTCCAGAATGTTATCATGATGAATAATGAGTTCATTACAAAAACGCAACGGCAGTGGAAGAAAATGAATATGGAAGAGCTATAACACGAAAAGCAACTTCTACCAATTTCAAAGCAGTTCTGCTGCTGCTGAAGATTGTCATAGCTCCACTGAAGTCAACAGCCTGCTGCTGCATTTTAGGGGTTACTATATTAAATACTGGAAGAATTTACTGGGAAGGAACTAAATGCACTTTTATTAATAGGATAGAAAATGCAGTACTGTTAGACATCAGAATTCCTAAATTATTCATTTACAACCATTGTACAGAACCCCTACAAGTAGGGAGCATGTGCTTCTCCTGTCTCAGAGCTCTGGGGAGCTGTCAGGTAAGAGCTGCTCTATAATTCTCCATAATGAATCTATAAGGCAGAAGAAAGTCTCTTGACATCACATGCCATAGGGCAATGAGAAGTAAGAACTGGTTCTGCTCCTATATATTAGGGTTGCTTACACTCAAAAGATTGAGTGAAGGATACAAGTGTCCTAAGTGGGACTTTTGGGTGCCTACACAAACACAATTGAACATCCCCACCCCTACACTTCATGGTTGTCTTGCTTAAATTGCCCTGGGTGCCCAGAATCAGGCCTCTGCCAATTCCCATAACTGCTCCAGGGCCCAGAACTGCCCAGTGAGGCATCAGACTCAAACCTAAGCTCAACTGGGCTTCTCCAATTCCTCTACTTAAGTCTCCTTGAGGTACTTGGTCTGGTAAGCACTCACAGGCATCAATACATGGAAACAATAACCTACAGAATGCATTTCATGGTCACTTTATTTTTAAAATGTGGCCCAGGGTGGTGCGCATCCTTTCTGTAATTGATGAGTGGTTAGAAAATTTGCTCAGTGCAGTGTGGAAGACCCAACTTCTTCCACCGCCTGAGAAAATGACCTAAGCACCTGACTCCAGGCTTGTCTGGGTGTGTTTGGGGGGGATCTCCAGTCCTCCTGTTGAAGCTGGGCTATGGGGCAGATAAGAATTCAAGATTCATCGTATTTAGAAAGGAGATAATGCAACAGGGCACCAGACTTTGTAGCCTAATGGTTAGGGCTCTCACTTGGGAGGAAAGAGCCCTGGCTCTCTGGTCCCTAGACTGCATGCATAAAGAGCTAGTCATCTTCTCTTGTGCCTAATGTGTCAGAAAATTGTTTCCTCAGCATTCAAGATCATTGGCTTGCCAGCAGTCATTGGCTTGGGGAGAAGTAGTATCATAGTTGCTGTACAGCATCACTTCCTTGGCTTTTTGCTCACTTGATCCTACTTAAGGTGGTTATAAACCACTGATTTTCTAACATTTCAGTAGGCAAGGAATTGGGGTGTGTCCCTGCTCCTGATTCCCTGAGAAAGTCAAAATGCTTTCTGCCCTCTGGAGACACAAATCAGGCTGAACTACTTTGGATTTAGTAACCTGTGGGTAGGTATTTTCTATGAAAAGCTGTCAATTTATTTAACCAGTACCAGTAATGGGATCAGAGTGGGCTCAGCTGCTCTTCTGGTACTCCCAGAGCAGGTGTTTGAGAAATGAACTTTTCTGGTTTCTTTTCAGGCCATTTTACTTAGTGAGGTTTTGGTTGAATTCAAAGGCTCTGACTAGCTATGTGTGTAATGAACTCATGTTCTTCATGACTAAGGTCCAACAGAGAGACCCATTCCAGAAGAGGATTGTTAATGCTTCCCTTGGAAAGCCTTGAATGATCAGAGATGCTGTTATCAGAAAGTGCTCCTCTCCTGTTGCCTTAAACTACAATATCAGCTGGGATGCTATTGCTTCTTGCTCCTAGATGAACATTTCTAAAGTGCAATTTTCTCATTTTTGTTTTCTTGGAGTTTGAATGGGAACAGGGCACAGTATATTCCTCTGATATTTTTGGCTGTGTTTATTGGCTTGGATTTGCTCTGGCTTCTGGTTAACTTCTGTCATTTGGGACTGATATTTTATCTTCTGAAGCTTTATCCCTTATTCTGCACTAATGGGGTGAGGTAAGGAAAGAAGAGGAGGCCCAGTACAGAATGGTGAGGTGTTGGATGTATTAACTGCCTGCTTAAAGGTTGTATAATCTGTGTAGACCTCTGTACTCCAGCCTATGAGGTAAGGGACTATGTCTGAACTGCCTAACCTTATACTCAAGGCCATGGCTCAATGCTCCACTTTGCACCAGGTGTTCTTACCTGATGGTTGAGCCAGGAGCTGGGGATCTCTGGCCGCCCTCTATCTCGCAGGACATTGTCTTTCATGCTCTCAACACATGGGTGTTCTCGCACTTTCGATCCAAATGGGGGTTCATACTCTTTCACTTCTGCCAAGGGAAAAAGCACACACGAGCTTCAGATGGGTTTGCCTTTTACACTGATGCCAAGAGCAAGTGGAGCTTGCTGGTCTCTAGAGCATCAAGAGCCGCTGCTTCCGAGTCCCGTCCTCTTCCACTTTACCACATGCAAACAAAGTATGGCCAGTCACCTTTTCAAAGCTGTTTCAGGTCACTTGTTCCCTCCCCCTCCCACTCCTATGACCATGCCCTAGCTGACAAAAACTTTTCAGTCAAACCCTTGGTCCTATTAAAATAGCACCACAGTCACCCACAGCAATTGGAAGATGGAGGAAAAGGCGCATTTTGCTTTACTCAGGCAAAACTTGAAGGGACTTTAACAAGCTCTTAGACCAAGCAAGGTAGGGTCACTTGGGTTTTGACCTCACCTTCCCTGGATTTACAACTACGCTTCAGATGGGATTCAAACTGAAACCTACCTGGGTCTTGGCTATAAACGTGCCTGGTCTGTAAAGGGAGTTAGATGCCTGAGAATTGCAAAGGTAGTATTCAGGTCAAAGGCAGTGGTGGAAGCTGATGTATTATCACTGGTTAACATTCAGAGTATGGACAAATATACTCTTATGGCACTTCAAATGGGGAGGGACATGAATCGACCTGAATGAAACAAGGTTAATGTTGGAGCACTTCTGCTCCAACTGTATCATTCCACAAGCATGCAGCTATAACTGCTGTATTGTCAGTATTCTTTGACATCCAGGCCAGTTATGTATGTCTGTTTCTTGAGATGCGTTTTCCTGTTAGGAAATAGCATTTCTGAACTTGATGCTGCCCTGGTGGATGTCGTGGACATGGCTTCATGAAAGAACTCCTTCTATTCTAGCTTTTGTTTGTGTGTTGTTGCATGTTTGAGAATGGGAGGGGGAGAGAAAGAAGAGAAGACGCCATATGGGACCATTGGAAAAACCTCAAGAAATCTCTGCAGTAGACACCAATATAGTGTAGGAAATGCTGTGGTTTCTCTGGGAACAAATGGAGAATTTACTCACAACCCTAATGACTTACTGGTATTGGATAAAGATTCATGAGACTGGCCTGTTCTCCTGCCACTTATTTATTTCTAGGAATTAATGGATGGCACTTTAAAAATGTAACATCTATGAGCTAAACCAAAATGAAATTTACAGGATATTCTGATGAAAGTATTTAAGTACATAGGAGATGCATAAAACATGAGATGGAGGGGAAAGAAAAATGTAGTGCCATTGTATAAATCAATGGCATTAACCTCAGTTCCCTCCTCCTGAGCTATATTATAGAATGGAAAGGAGGGGGAGAACTGAGAAGGGTGATAAGAATCACCAAAGGCTGGAAAAACCCTCCTATAAAGAGAGTAAAAGGCTGGCATTATTTACTTCGGAAGCATAGGGGTAAGAGACAATGGAAACAGAACTGTGCCTGGTGTAGAGAAGGTAGGTCTCCCTGTCCTACAACAAGACAGGTTCTATACTTCCATCTCAGGCATCTGGTGAAGGCCGCAGGCAGCAATAAGTTAACTGAACCAAAAGAGCTCTGTATGTCAGTAAGACGGTTCTTAAGAATATATCACCATCTTTAATTAAATCCCAACCATATTTTAGGGCCTGACTCTACCAGTCTTCCTCCTGCTGATGACTGGTTCCTTACTCCACAGGTAGAGACCCCTGGTTTCAATAGGGCTAATGAAGATCAGAGACTACTTGGCCTGGGCAAGTTTTACATAAACTAGTCCTTCATATTGCACAGAAATGTGCCATCAACCCCCAGCGTGACCCACACTGCAATACGGTGGAAACACAGTGACAAAGCAGCTCTTGATTTTCAGGTTCAAAGCTGTTATGAACTTTAGCCACTGGGGAGCAAACCCGATTAAAAAGAATATGAGAATCAGTCAACCCCTTGGAAAATATCCTCTTCTGTCATGTGCTCTAGTGGGATTGGCGTTCTTAGAATCCAGCTCTATTATTAGATCCTTTAAGATAACCTTAATAATAAGTAACTTGATTGCGGTACAAGCCTTGTTAAGAAACACAGCCCTCTGCCATAATACAGAAAAACAACAGAAAAGATGCTTCAATCTTCAGGAGCATAGAGACCATTGCAGTTTTGGACCTGTGCCTTTTTGCTTTCCACTAACAACCAGGGCACAGGCTAAACATCACCTGGAGCTTTCTTGTTGAAGCTGGCTCATGAAGCAGCCAAGAAAGGGAACTATGGGGAGCCAGAAAGAAGCCAGTGAAGTAGCAGCTGCATGGCTCAGTGTTTTGGAAGTTACCTTGGAATAGAGGGGCTCCAGGTTCTATCTGGGGGCTGCTTTCACTGACGCAGGAACTTTTTTAGTGCTTTATCCAAAGAACATTAAACCAAGGTGCAGCAGGCCAGCTTCAAGAGGCCTGGAAGAGGCTGGCCAGTAATTAGCCTGTGGTGTGATGGCTAGAGAACTTTGCATTGACAAGAAAGAGGCGCAGGCTCAAAAGCCTGCTTTGGTGAGGTGGCCTAGAGCCTGGATCTCCTGCAAGTACTCTAACAGTGCTACTGGGCTACAAGTTGGCAAAGCTCTTCAGCAAGCACGCATGCAGAGCAAGGCATGGTTATTTTTCCACGTCAGGGATTTACAGTCTCAACATGTTTGCAAGTGCCAGCAGCTGACTTTTTATCCAGCTGGCTACATGCCAGCTAAGTACCCAAAAAGGAAATGGGATTTAGCCCTTTATGTATTGTGTGCACCTTGTTACATATATTCCCTATTTGCTACTGTGCCTATCTCTCTGCCCAGCCTGTCCCCTCTGTGTACTCCATTGCTGCAGAAGTCTGAGATGAGGAGACTGAGGTGTCTCAGCACCTCCAGGCTTAGTGGACAAGCTTGGCTTCAAAGGATGCCAGGTTTGTTCCTCCCCATTCATGGCCAGGCCCTGTACCCTTTGTACGCTCAAGTGGCATGGGCACACTAGTATCAGGAGCCAAAATCTATATTGCTGACCTGACACTTTTGTTCCCAAACAGCATATGATAAATCAGCGTTCTTGTTCTTTAAACACATCCCTTACACTGCCATGGAAAACCAAGGCTTCTCTTCAAGTGAGGCAAAATTGCCTCAATACCTGGAGCAGTATCAGGCATTTGCTGGCAGTGCTCCTCTCCTTCCCACTCCTCACCATTGTATTTGAGAACTGTTCGCCCTTCCCCACAAAACACCACACCGATGGCAGATTTTATCCTGAACACAGAGATGCTTTCAATTTCTTTTCTAGTGGGCTGTCTGGGAAATTTTGCTTGCCTTGCTCACCGTACCAGTGTTGCTCTGAAGGCAAGTTGTTGAGATGAAAATTATATTTCTTTCAACATGCAGCATCTGGTGCACAGCTGTTGTGCTGAATGAAATACCAAGTTAATGGTGGAGCAGAGCAGTTAAAGCTCTCCCCAAAGCAGTATTGCTGGTTTTCTAAATATGCCTTCTAAATTACACTCCTGTGGAGAGAAAAAGCCCAACTGCCATTTTTCCCTCTGCTTCCCCTCCCCCTTGCCCCATTCATACTGCTCCATATATAGTGCCACAACATACCAATGCGCATTGTGCCCTTTTCCTCTAGCTGCAACCTCCCTCCCACCTGCACAAGACTGCTGTTTATGGGAAGATGCTGCAGCAGCTTCATGGTACAGATTATACTGCTGTTTCTTTTTTTTTCTTTGAAATGTATCCTGACTAAATAGGATTGGCATGCTCTAGAGCCTGTGCCAGACAATGCTCTGCTGGTGAAAAGACTTGCCGCTCAGCACCACCCACCCTATACAAATACCTGCACATTTACAAACACATTCTTAGAGCTCCCTTTGTTAAAGCAATAGTCATTGTACCTTGACCCTCTTAAGCAGAAATTAGCTACCTTCCTCAATTCAGAAAAGTAATTGTTTGGCTATTAAGCTGCCTATTCCCATTTCAAAACTTCCAGAGACATTCTCTGAGGACTGGGCACTTACCACATCTGTGCTGATGGGACAGACAGAGTAATTTTTGGTGCCTAAATCCTTTTGGTGCCTTTGGAAATCCCAGAATCAATTGTTGCATCTACTCTAGTTCAAATGAGAAGGAATTTTTCCCTATAGATGACACAATATAATGGAAGCAAGACAATTTCTTACACACCAAAGAAGCCACTGTAGTAGGAGAGTGGCTGTAGTAGGAGAGTGGCTTGGCTTGTGACAGCAGAAAAAAAGGTCTGGTCAGGGAAAGAGAAGGAGAAAGTGATGAGCGGTTTTTGATCATGAATACTGTATGGCAATTTTCCCTGTCTGGTGCAAGTGTCAGATCTCACAACCCAGGAGAGGGTCTTTTGGAGAGAGCTGAGAAAAGTCTTGTGATTATGAGGAAGCTGGGCACCAACAGTGAGCTGTGGGAGCCAAATTCTGGCTTCAGTTCTTTGGCTGAATGCTGACACCACCCCCAAATATTTATGCCTCATCAACATGCTTTCTCTATGAACCGCAGCCACCTCGGGAGATGACTGCAGTAAAGAAGTTCAGGAAATTTGTTTCTGGAGACAAAGGTGATTGAGGGGTAAGAGAAAAAAGTAAAATCAGGAAGCGGGTTAAGATCAATGAAGAAAGGCCAGGCACACTGGGGCAGAGAGGCCTCTCCTTTTCCCATAATGGCTTATGTTTTAATTCTAAAGGTTATAGCAGGTCACTGTCTTTTAGCTGAACAAGCTGGTGATTTTCCTTCCTCGTGAAACTCTGTTTATATCCTCTTTTAGGCAGCTGCCTTATGAGCAGAGCTGCCGTGAGGTCTGACTCACACCACAAGCACCATTCCGCTGCACTCAGCAAATATCAACAGGAAGGGACCTCAGGCATCAGCAAAGATGAAAGACTCCAGAGAAAACAGCTCACATATATATTAATATAAGTGCGCTGCTAAACGCAAGAAGCACAGAGAGCCCGAGAGATGGGGCAAAGGGCTTGTAATTCAGCTTTCAAATTTTGCCACCAGTGTTTGCAAAGGGCAAATTAAAAGGTGACCCATATTTGGAAGTGTGCAGAGCCATAACAGCTAAGCCAGGGGGAGCTTGTCTTGTAAGATGCTAGGCTGAGGTTAAAGCCAAGAACCACAAAATGCTGATTAAAAAAAAAAAAAAAGATTGTATGTAGTTATATCTAGAGCTGGATAGAATAATGAATACTTATTTGACAGGATTACTTGTACTGTTCATTGCTCAGAGCATAGCCCATAGAGGAAGACTGAAAGCTAGGCTGATAGCAGGGAGACCAGGGTAGGGGAACTTGCATCTTAGTAGAGATATGCAGCCACCTATGGAGGTTTCCATGCCTGTACAGTGCCCCAGTAAGGTTAGGAAGAAGACCCACCCAGCAGCGCATCTCCCACCTCTTCACACTGGGGTGTCCACACTGTTGATCTCTGCTCTCACTCAGTGCAGTCCCTTGAAATGCTACTGTTCTAATTCTGATAGAAAAGGAGTCCCTAAAATCTTCAAAGGGGAAAAATTGCCTGCTGCACATCTATTACAAGGGCTGTCAAGGTTATCTGAAATATCTTTGTTACTCAGCCCTATCTGTACACACATAAATGTGCCAAAGTGTGCGATGTTAAAGTGAACACAAACATTCCAGAACGCCCTGTTCTACGAGGAGACCAGGAAGATTCACATATAACCTAAATCAGGGGTTTACATCAGAGAGACTAAATCAAATCCCAGTGAGCAACTCAGTATGCTGCATATAGATGCTGGGGACAATCTCCTGGTTTCTATTGTACTGCTCCAGACTGAAGATTTAAGAGTATAAGAGAAATGAAGAGAGTTAACTTTATTGAATGAGCTGTAAATGAACATTACACAGTAGATCTTCCTTGTGTTCTTTATTTTGACATTCAATGAATTTAACTTTGTCCTGTATTTTCAATATTCAGTATCTCACAGGGCGTGCATGTTCTTTTAATATGTTGTGGATGTGTTGCTACATTACAGAAGTTGGCATGATGCAGTTGGCACCCTTTGTATGAAATGAGGTTGAGTGTGTAGGATTTATACAAGGATATTTCTGCTAAACTGACTGGTTTGCTCATTTAAATGGTTCTTATTAGATTTCTAATGTAAAATTCTAAACAGGTAATGCTTCTCCATCCTAGTACTTCAGACTACACAGTGCCTCTGATCATCTTGAAAGAAAAACTATGAAGGCAGCTTAGAAAACTCAGGTACTGCAGAACTAGTCCCACAGCATTTAAAGGGATTAAAAACAACACAGAATTGCTTGAGCATCTCTGAAAAACATTCCTTTAAAAATAAAGGCCCATTGTACATACCTCCAACACCATTGCAACGAGATGTCATCTCCCACAGGACCAAAGCCATAGAGTACACATCAGTTTGCTTGAAGGATTCAACGTTCTCTAGGTTCATTCTGGATTCCAGGACTTCAGGAGCCATGTATCTTGCTGTGCCAACCTGTAGCACAACATACAAGGAACAACTCAAGTGCTGAAACTACAGTTCACATTTCTGATTCTAATGCAGTTTTATTTCTGTTTCCAAACACAACTACATTATTTGACCTTTAGTATGAAACATAGGTCAATAAGCCAAATTCTTTGCCGCTTAGAGAATCCGGCCCAGGGTTAATCACCAACTTGTGACTCAGTGATCCAAGAAGATAAAAACAATATTTAGTAGCTTTTCAGTAGAGGATTTCATCACTGGCTCCTCCTCACTCTTTGGTTGTTTATAGAGATAGACCTTGCTGCTTACCTGATACCACATGCCACATTCATTGCATGTTCAGCACTTTTTGTGCATTTCAAATTAACATGACTCACCTTGTGCTATAATGCTACTAGCCCTTCCTTTTGTTGATGGTGGAACTTTTTAAAATGGAAACTCTAAAATGCATGCAAAAATAAGTCTAAGTTCCCCTTGAGCCCCTGGGCTGGCTTAGTTAGGGCTTATCCACTTCAGTAGCTAACAGCACATAAGAGGGTGATAGCATGGTATGGCCAATACCATGTCTCACTGCTTTTCATCTCTAGCCTGAATGATTACGTACCCATTTGCAGTTGTGTTGGTCGGGGTAAGCTTTTAGTGTAAGTCTGGAATGAAACTGCAAATGCATTCTGGACTGCTTAACTGCTCTGTCACCAGGTCCAGATAAAATAACACCCTCCCACCACCCCATAAGAAAGCAAAAATGCAAATGCTTAATGCAGACTCAGTCATTTGAGTGAAAAACAGAACCTGCCACTCAGTTTGGAAAAGCCCGCATAAAAAAGCTGACACTTCTCTACTCATTTTTGAAGTGCTTTTTTTCTTCAGTTTAGGCCCACACAGAATTGTGACCCTTCTGCACTGGAGGCAGAAATATAACTCTTCTCAGAGGGAAAAACATTTTGGCTTTCTTCTGTCCCCCTTGTATCCCAATTGTCACTTCTTTAATCTACATTTAGGTTATATGGTCTGTCAGGGACTGCATTTTTTGTTTGTGTGTGAAGCCAGGTAGGCTCCTCAAAAGGCATTTAAAGATGCCTAAGTCCCATGGATTTGGGAGTCAGACGCCTAAAAATATTTGAGGATTTGGACCCCAGTGCACTTGGCTGTTATGGTAATAGAGCTAAAATAATAAAAATAACTAAATACCTTTTCTCTCTCTCTGTTACGCTCTACATGCCTGTAATGTTTGTTAAAGAATATAAAACACATGTTGCTGGAGAAAGCAAAATGAAGGCAATGCTTGATAAGCACTGAAACCCCCTTAGAGTTGCCTTCCTAATACATTTTATTTTGCAAATGCTGCTTTCCTTCCAGGTCTTACCTATGGAGAACACAAAATGTTGAAGCAATAAGACAAAGGCCCAGACTCAAGCTTTATCAATAAAGTAACTTTTGCCTGTTTACATTATCTACAGATTATGAGTGGACAGAAAAACAAATTATAAAAAACTGTAATGGAGAAAGGTTAGAAACCAACCTCTATAATCAGGCTTACTTGTATTGCATACTTGATAATGGCAAAATGCATGTTATGCACCCGGTGGCTGGCTAGGAGAAGAATCAAGTTTGTATTAGGTGTACCACACATACAAGAATATTTGGCCTCAGAGGTTACATCCCAGAGCTAAAGCAGAAGACAGGAGTTATTTTCCACAAAAGATAGTTGAAAGAAACTAAAATGTACTTGAAATGAAAATGTTTGGCCTGCTCTATTACATATCATTAGAAACCAGGCTTTCCAGTTGGAAAGTCTGGAGTCTGTCAATTAAATTTACAGGTGATGTGTAAAGCAGTGGAGATTTCTCACTTTCTGATGCCCTTGCAGATAGTCTTTTAGACCTAATTACACCAATTTTAGTGTTGTGTAAGAGGGTCTGAGACAGTGTCATATATAAGTCAAGGAGAACCAAAAGCTAAAAGCAGATCTGAGTTTAAGAGCATCTCTAACTGTACTGTATTCAGTAGCAACCCTGGTATTTTGTGACTCTGGTGGAAGTGGTCTTTTTAAAAGCTGTTTCATTTGAGATGGCTCCTTCCAACTCTGAACAATATTCCCAAACCTTATGGAGGAAAGCGGCAGACTCCCATTTACAACAGTGGAATTGATAACTCTTGTAAATTACCAGAGAGATTTTAAAGGCCAATTTATAACTGATGTAAGGCAGTGGAGCCCCCTTGATTTTACCGGAGCCACACCGATTGAAAGGGTGGCCATAAAAACTCTCTAGCCGAGAAATAAAATGGTCCCATGTAAAGTAAATTACAGTGTAAATGTCTACACTTATCCTTTCCCTAAGCATGCAAGCTGTAGTATCCGAGCTATGAAAGGGTCTAAATATCAGTCAGATCTACTTTAGGACCTAATCTACTTAACACAGGCTGTGTCTACATGAAACACTTACTGCGCAGTAGCTCATTACTACTGCACAAGAACGCTGCTGGGCACAAAGCCATGCAGAGATGCTACTCTGCAGTAACACTGGTTACTGCGCAGTTATTCAGTACTTGGGTATGCAAGTAGTAAATGATAGGGGCGTGCAAAATGGGCCATATTTGATTCAGATTTGACCCAAATCAGGGGACATTGATTCGATTTGTTGATTCAGATCACTGTCCTGATTCGATTGGGCTGAATCTGGATCTGAAGATTCGATGCTGATTAGAAGAATCAGTTATTCAGCCATAGACACAACTTTAAATGTTTTTTCTACATACCTTGAAGTACTAGGCATGGCTTGTGAATGCCGCGATGGTGGGGCAGATGAAGCGTACCACAGGAGCGTGTGGGGACCCCTGTGTGCTCGGTGGTGAACTCAGAACTTCTGGATCTGCCGCTGAGCGCGTGGGGAACACCCCCGCACCCCCTTGGTTCAGCAATTGGCCACAGGGGGACCGTGAGTGCCCCCCCCCAGACCCAGGAGGTACCAGTCACCAAGCTGGGGGAAGGTGGGGGGAGATCCCTCACATGCTCTGCAGCAGACCCATAAGTGGACCAGAAGTGCTTTTGGTCCACTTCTGGGTCTGCCACCAAGCGACTGCCCCCCCCCCCACCCCATACTCCCCCCATACTCCTGTGGGATGCTGTATCCGTCCCAGCACCTCAGTGTTCATGAGCTGCCTAGTACCTTGAGGTTTGTAGAAAAAACATTTAAAGCTGTGTCTATGTCCGAATCATCGAATGTCTCCAAATCATCAAATCGATTTGGAGGGTTCTGATTTGATTCAGAGAGATTAAAGTGTCTCCTGATTTGATTCGGAGACTTGGCTCGATTCGGTGGAATCCGCTGAATTGAATCAGTGACCAAAGCTTCGCACAGCCCTACTAAATGACTCTTCAGTAACAACTGTGCAGTCAGCATCTTGTGCAGACGCAGCCACAGAGAGGTCATTTACGGTGAAGGCGTGTTCATGATCATTACTAATATTTACAGAAGCACTTTTATAATTTCATCTTTAAAGTGCTCTACAAACATTAAAGTACTCCTCCCAGCATTCCTTTGAAGTAGGTAAGTACTTGCTATATCTAGTTATAAGAAAAACGAGGGACTTATATACAGTACTTATGCATTTTTCACATTTGCCTGCTTGTGGAGAAAGTACTATATTCCTAACAGGTTTCTCAGTGATCTTTAAAAAATAATGATCTAGCCATTCTCCCTTCCTAGCTCAGATTCTGATTCTTGTTTATGCTGGTTTAACTCAGAAGTAACTAATGAAGTGGATAAGAAGCTTCTTTGAGATCAGAATCAGGAATTGTGGCACAATATTTCAAGAATATAAAATACCGCCTCAGCACAAACAGTCACCATGTAATCCGGGTTGTATGCACTTCAGTGTAAGCGTACGTATGCTGGTTGTACTTATATACATAAAGTACTGATCATAACAAACCTGTCATGGCATTATTTACACTGGTTTCTTAATACTGAGGTTACAGCCTCTTTATTTAGAAAAGCTGTCACATTTATTGCTAATAGTTTTAAATAGATATCATAGCAGGGTTTTTTTTCCCTTCAGTCCCAGAAAGGGACTCCAACTAGGCACAATGCAAGCCGCTCTAACATTTTAACTCACTTGTCCACTGTTAGCCAAGTCGTCCACAGACAGCGAAGGATCAAGCCTCAGGGATAACCCAAAGTCACACAGACAGCAGGTTAGGTCATTTTTCACTAGGATATTGGAACTCTTCAGGTCTCTGTGCACAATGGGTGTTTTGGGTCGACCACAGGGTGTATGGTCACTGTGGAGGTGGGCAATCCCTCGTGCCAAAGACCCGCCAAGCTTCCACAGGTCCTCCCAGCTGATGATGTGGCGTGTAAGGTACTCCTGCAAGTTTCCTCTGGCATGGAAGGCAGTGATCAACCAATATTGTTTTCCTATCTCTGTCTTACGCTCCTCTGCTGTCAGGAACTGAAGAATGTTCTCATGCTTTAGGTTTACATCTGAAAATATATCCTTTTCAGTCTTCCAAGAAGCATATTCTTCATAAGGGAAGATCTTGACAGCCACTGTTTCATACTGCTCAGATGTGTTTTGCTTCAGTTTGGCCTTATACACTTCAGCAAACCTGCCTTTTCCTACAAGAGTGTCTAGCTCGATAGGCAGTAGCTCAGTGTTGTGGTTAATGTTGTTGGCACAAGTGGAGCTGATGTCTGAGCGGTCATCATCTAACATAATGGCACAAACATCACTGCAGTCCTTATGTTTCCTGGGCTTAACGTTCTTCTCCCATGCCTTGTTGAGCTTCCGTCTTCGGTGACTCCGGTAGCAATAAAAGATACCGACCACAGCAATGGTGATCACAAGTAATGGGACAAGACTTATAACTGTGACTTTAGTAATCTCGTCTAAGATTTCAGGACTTGGTTGGGTATCTGAAAGGACAAAGAAAATCATTGTTCAGGTTTATAAACTAAGAGAGGTAAGAGCTAGTGCACCTAGCTCTAGGAAAATGCAATTTAAGTATGTTAAAATAAGAACTGGTTAAAAATGGGGGGAGAGGATGGGGTTTTGAATTTTTTAAAATTCAAAGTCTAGTTGAAAATTCAAAACTTGAAAAATTATTTCAACCATCTCCAGTGAAAATCGAAATTCATTATACTTTAGACTAGACATACTGTTCTGTTTACAAAATATACATGTGCATGTACAGCTTCCCAAACCGTTTAAACAAACAACAAGCAACATTAATAACAACCTTGCTCTGTACACTAGGCTTCATTTAGAAGGAGCCTTCTAATGCAGTAAAAGATCCTAACCTGTTAATATAGTTAATAGGGCTCTTCTCTTATGAGATCAGATTTCTTGTGCATTTTGGATGAAGTCTTGGCCCCACTGAATTGGTGCTAAAATTTCTACTGACTTTAAGAAAGCCAGAATTTCTCACTTTTCTGGCATATTAGAAAGTCATTCTTACATTATTTATTGATGACATTAATTTATTTAATGACACGAAATACTTTTCACTTTGAGATGATTGGCATGATCAGTAGTTTGGTGATACAGCACCTGCTGCCTCTTTGATTCCATCTCAGATCTGATGTTTTGGCATTTGAAGGATACATGAAACTATTTTCAACCCCCCCCCCCCACACACACACACCCCATTCACTGAGCATGTGTAAAAACCTGTGTGCACACCTGAAAAATTCTCACTCCCACATGTGCTTCTACATATGTGCTGCAGGAACAATTCTTATAGCTTGCACATCCAAAAATGTTAACATTTAAGTATCAATGTTCATTTTTATGTATTTTTTCATAGAGGCTAGGTTTGACTGTTATTACCATCTAAAATCTAATGTATATATAATGTCCTATGGGCACTAGGTGGGTGGGTGGTAGAGTAAATATCTCAAGCAGTGTACACCATATCACTTATCTGGTATATTTGTGGCAATCTCAGCGGAGACAGAAGTCTGAGCCACCTTCCTTGCTTAGTGGTCCTTCCTCTGGGTCAGTCCTGAGGCATTTTTTTATGAAGGTATATAATCGGCCACAACCAAAGCCTGAATGGTTAATAAATTGCAGACCTCTTGTCAGGCACTCTTATACTTCTTTAGTGTAAGTGTACTGGGTTCTTTTGACAAGATACCAAGGGAGGAAAGGAAGTTTCTTCATACTGCATTTCGTTGGATTTCTATACCCAGTTTGCTGTGGTACACAGAAATGCATTTTCTTAAACAACTTTTTCTTTCAAATACACTCAAATGCTTTATGTTATCTCAAGCAATGATTACAAGAAACCCTGGGGAGCTGGCTGAGTGGACTAACATTGTCTATACCATCTCTATCCTGAGCCTGAAACCACTACCAAGAAGTCTGGCCCATCCAACTGCTTTTGCTCAGGATATGCCAAATATTAGAGAGGAGACACTGTAGACCACCCTTGAGCATGCATCAACAGGCTTGAGACAATCTCAGTACCTCACTCTCCCAAGGCCACTTTCAGCTGGCTACACTACATTATTTCTGGGATTTGGCATACCTGGAATGAGTGCAAGTAAGTAGGGCACATCCCTTGGTGGTGGTCCTGGGCTCAAACATGAAGACAGTGTAGACAAGCTGTAAGACACCTAAACTGGTAACTACAGCTGAGTGAGAGTCTTACATTGGTAGTGCTACATTTAGGGGCTGTTTACAGCAATGCCATTGTCTCAGGTTTTGTATAATAGGCTAAATAAGTCAAGAGGAAGGGGAAAACCAGTATAATGTCCGAGATACAGTTGCCACTATATTACACAAAACTTCTAGTTAATTTTCTTCACTTTCCCTGCACTATAAGACAGGAGAGCTGCTTAAAACATCATATAGCAGTGTGCAAAAAAAAAGAAAGAAAAAGCCTTTTATAGTCAGAATGAGTCACATATTGTAACCCAAGAATCTGACCTCCACCACCCCTCATCCCTCCCCCCCCCAAAAATCACTCCTATATTATGGATTTATATTTAACAGCAAAGCTGACTGTTTTTTAAAAGGCAGGAGGTAACAGAAATGAGAGATCTTTTAAGCTGAGAGTCTATTGACTCTCCCCTGTTTGGAAAGAGGTCTTAATACTCAACCTAGCTCTGTTCAAAGAGTTCACTAATCAGGTATAAACCAAGTAACTCAATCATGGCTTGTCTGACACGGTCATTAAGGAGGGAGCTCATTTCCGTTCAATACTGACATTCTCAGCTATCACAAGTACACTATTAATGACACACGTGCATTAATAAAAAGACTAAAATTTCCTTTTACATTTGTAAGTGGCTCCTGCTAGGTTCAAGAAAAAGGGACAGCAAAAACAATTACTCTAAAATTATTTCCCTTGGCATATCACCCTGTGTCTATATTTAGAAGTTCATTGCTGATCAATTCTCTCACATTTCATTCTTCTGCTTCTCAACAGACTGAAGGGAAAACTTATTGAAAAGTATATTTAGAAACTAACATCCTGCTGTCAGTAAACAGCAGTCCCATGCAGCTTATTTTGTGCATTCCATTTTTTCAGGAAACCTACCAGAAAAAAACTTAGGGGTATCATCTAGTAGACTTGACTGAATTATTCACTGAAACGGTTAGTTCTTTGGATTTGGTTGCAAACAGATTTTGCTTCCATCACTGTGCCTGCTATTTGTAACTGCTAGATAAATTTACGTATTTAGGTTCATGGCTGATGAACTTATTTAGGTTTATGGCTTTTTCCTCCCCCCAGCATGTATTTAGTAGTTGAACTCTGCTATTTGAGCTGTGCCATTAGTCACCTATGTCACATGGGGTGGTTTCTGCCTAGCCAGAGATAAGAATACTGAGGACATTTTAGGATACATTTAGCCTTTCCTGTCTTCCTTTGAACAGGAAAAGGCATTATGCTGAGCTATAGACATGGAGCCCAACTTCTAAAATATTGGTTCCTTCCTGACTGAGGGAGAAAATTAGATTTACTGGCTGCCTAGCTAGCTGGACTTGCAATGACACGGCAAGGGGCGAGGACTTTCAGAGCAGGCATATACACACTAGATGTGTCTACACGAGATGCTTATTGTGCAGTACCCTAATAACACTGGCAGTAGTGTATTAGTGCAGTTTTTGACAGGCACACTACTGCACAGTGTTATTAGGGTATTGCGCAGTAAGCATCACAAAACATTGTGCGCTGGTGCTACTGTGCAGTACATGTAGTTACTGTGCATTTAGTTACTTCATTAAGCAAGTACTAAACTAAATGCACAGTAACTACTGTGCATTAATGAACGTGTAGATATGCCCACAGAGTTGTACAAGAGATGACTGTGACCCAGTTTATTCCCAAGTGTATTTGACTCTGAATGTCAAGGCTTTCCATCTACCTAAGGGTCTCTTACTTCTGCCCATCATTATAAAATCTGAATGCACTCTTTATTAGTTGGAATTGAAATAGAAAAGTCTCTAGTGAACTTCATGAAGGTTCTGGATCTTCTCTCCTTAGTTAGCTGTACTTGGGGTATGTAAATATTTTTTTGGTTTGGGTGGAAAATCATTGATGTTGCAGGTGTAACTCTGAATGTAGAAAAAAAAATCAGGTAAAGAGCTTAGCATTTTGGCTACTGACTCCCTATATGTCCTCTTATTCCTGGCCTCATGCTGGCACATCCTCTATGCCAGGAAGTGAGGAGGTGGGAGAGGTAGGGTGGGTAGCCTATAGGTTGTTGACTCAAAGTAGCTCCAGCACCTCGGGAATTCTGAACTGAACCAGCAGATCTAAGCCAGGGTTGAACCAAAAATCAAAATCAGATAGATTACAAGTGTTGTGTGTATGTGTGTGTGCGGCGGGGGGGGGTTGAGGAACTTTCCTGACAGATGTGCACGTCCACATGCTCAAATATATGTCTGTGAATCAAACCCCACAATTGCGCAAATGAAAGTACCTCTTTCCCGCTGTCACTTCAATGTTTATGAAATTTCCCTCTTTCACTTCAATGTTTATGAAAAAGTGTCAAAAAACAACTAGATAGAATAGCCATTCATTTTTCTTGCCAGCATGTTTTGAAATAATTTCTTCCACTACTTAGCAAATAGGAGAGTAGTAATATGTGTGGACCCATTACTCAGTAACAGCAGTATTTCTCAGGCTTAAAAAAGTACTAGTAAAATAAGTCAATGGTGGCTAAAAGAAAGCTTCCTGTATGCAGAGTATGCTAAGCATAAGTCATCTCTATAGCCCTTGACACTACCTTAAACGTTAAGCAAAATAGTATTCAAGTGCTAGGAAAAACAGAAAGATTTCAGCATCCTGTATTAACAGTAATGAAACTACAGCACACTTGATTTGCTTAAATACTAAATCTTTGAGGTAGATTATGTGTTTTTGCACACATAAATGGCACCTAAATACTTAGGATTAAAATAACAGTATTGATAAAACTAGGATCTCTGCTACACAGCAGAGAACAGATACACAAGCAGGGGGGACAGGATGGGTATAAGGGACAGCCTTTATTTACAAAACTGCTTTGTATGACTTGTATGACTGCTTGTATGACTCCCAGTGAGGTTGTCAGTCTGTTCAAGGTGGCAAGGGAATGTTCCATACTGTCACGAGTCAGCTTAAACTCACTGGCTGCTCTTGAAAAAATACAACTTGCTCAGCTACAAAAAGATCTTGAAAGTGTATCCTGCACAAAGAAATATTTGTAACATTGAGATCAGGGTCTTGGTCCTGCTCCAGGTGTTTTGCCCTGTTCCCTCTGCACAAGGCAGCCCTTAGACCTGACTGCAGGACAACAGTTCAGGTTTGTGGTTTCTAAGCTTGGTTTCATTCCACATTGGAACGAAACTGAAACCTTTAAAATATTTTTCATGCAAATGGAACTGCAGCAAAAGGTCTGGTTTTTGCATTGAAACCTGAGCTTTT